CCCCTAGCTCCCCTTCCGGTCTGGAATAGAACACGTACTTGTGGCTTCCAGACAAACAAAAGAGAGGCATATGAGTTGAACATTTACCTGAGGTAGACACACTCCTTGGAGAGAACAATCATGAGAGAAAGAAGGGCTGCTTATGCACAGGGAGACAGCTCCGGGGGGCAGGAGTGCATGGAAGGATGGACACAAGGAAGAGGTAACTATGGGGAGGAAGTGGGAGGGGAGCTATTGCATTGTGGTAAATTGTGGTCAATGTCATGAGATAGTGTATGTGAATTGCTCTATGGAAAGTTAATTTGCTCTGTAAATTTTCACCCAAATCACACAAACACAAAAAGAATTTTTTTAAAAAAGAAATAGGACCCACATCTTATACCGTATAAAAAAAACAAACAAGTTGGCTCAAAGACCTGAATGTAAAATCTAAAACCATAATCAACAAAGAAAAAACAGGGACAAACTAAGGCCCCCAATTCAGGACATAAATGCACCATCGAATACAACTAAAAACTCACAAACACCAGAAGACAAAATTGATGACTTGGCCCTCCTAAAAATCAGACACTGCACATCAAAAGAGTTTACCAGAAGAGTAAAAAGAGAACATACAGACTGGGAAAGTATTTTTGGCAATGACACATCAGACAAGGAACGAATTTCTGTGATTTATAGAAACCTTCAATAACTTAACAACAAAAAGTCAAATAATTCAATTAAAAAATGAACAAAGGACATGAACTGGCACTTCACCAAAGAAGATATTCAGGCAGCTAACAAATATATGAACAAATGCTCACTATCATTAGAAAGATGAAATCAAAAAAATGGGATATCTCATCGCAGCACTAATAGCAAAGTTCAAAAAAAAAAAAAAAAAAACAGAAAACGACAAATACTGGCAAGCACTTGTACCCTAATATACTCCTGATGGTACTGTAAAATGGTGCACTGTGAAAAATGGTATGGCGTGTCCTTAAAAAGCAAGAAATAGAAAGACATGCTCCAGCAATCACACTACTAAGTATAAACAAACCTTTAATTTAATTAATTAAAAGTTAATTAAATAAGCTGCATTAGAAGTTATATTAGGTGACTACTTAGTGCCATAACTGTTCTAGGCGCTGGGACAAAGCAATGAACAAGATCCCTGTCGTAGTGGAACTTGCATTCCAACTGCAGATGGGGGTGCGGGTGCCGTGATGAGCATCTCTTATTTTGAGGTATGTAACACCATACAAAAGTAGAGGATACAAACAGTAAACAATAGATAAATTATCCGACGGGCTACAATATACATTTCACGCGGGGTGGGGGGGGGGAGCGCAGAGTAAAGGAGATTTGGAGTACCCCGGACAGGAAGAACGTGTCAGTGAGACTACAATTACAATTCTACACAGGGTGTGATCATAATTTTGCTCTGAAAACTCACTTACCCATCCATCCAAAGAAATGATTTTTGACGTGCAATGGACAGAGCAAGGAACAGAAAAGGAAACAAAGACCTGCTATCTAGAAAGCGCACGTTCTAAGAAAGGAGGCTTACACTCAACCATTCACAATTTATTGTTAAAGCACGTGTGTCTCACCGCGAGAAAACAGGTAGGGCACTAGGGCACCGTGCGAAAGCAGCAACAGCAGCCTTGCGAGGACTTCCTCGAGGCCATCCGCGCCCACCCCAACCACCGAAGATCCCGCAGCCCGACAGTGCCCGGTCAGGCCCAGATCTGTCCACTAGGCGGCAAGGATCGTGGCCGAGTCTGGCCAGCTCTCAGTGCCTCACACCTTAAGTTGGACCAAGCGAAGTGAAGGGCGAGCTGAAAGTTTGGGTCTGCTTCGTCCCGGAGGCCCGTCACATGCCGGACCAGCTCGCGTACTTCTAGCTCCTGTTGTAGCCGGCTCCGCTGCAGCCGAATCCCAGCCATCCTCTGTTAACTCCGGTCTGGGCCTGAGTTCTCAGTGTTGGGTCTTGGTGAGAGTACAATGCCTCTCGCGATATTTGGTGATGCGTCGGCGTTGGGTGTCTGCGAGGTTAGAGCTCTCGCGAGAGCAGTGCTCTCCCAACGTTTGGCAAGCAGCGGTGCAAAAGTAGTTCGCAATTTAGGGGGTTGAGCTGTGAGATGGTTGGTATGCGGTGTTTGGCTTTTCTGGTACTCACTCATTGCCCTCGAGGGGATTTGACTCCTAGGGACCCCTTTTTGGGTTTCTGAGGCGGTATCTCTGCGGAAATAGATTGCCCAATCTTCCTTAGGAGGAGTGGCTCGTGGGTTTGAACCGCCAGCCTTCAGCTTAGCAGTCAAATGCCTGAGGCACTACCCCACCAGAGGTAATTCTGGAAGTGTTTAAGCACTTTGGTAAGTCTGAAAGCGTTTAAGTATTTGTTTTAGCTAAGGATCCCCTGGGTATTTCAAACAGTTACTGTGGTTTGCTGCAGAGGAAAGGCTGGAGAGTCAAGTCCACCCAGGGGTGCTGCAGAAGAAGGGCTTGGCGATCCATTTAAGAAAAATAAGCCTTTGAAAACCCTGTGAAGCCCAGTTCTATTCTGATACACATGGGGGCGCCAAGAAGTGGAGCTAACTTTACTGCAACTGATTGTGTTACTTGAGGCAGAGGTCTTTTGGTTGCAGTGGTTAAGCGTCTCTTCCATCACTGAGCTTCACAAAATAGCCCAATACCGCTTCTAACTCTCAAGAGAGAATTACCCCGTTGTCAGGAATAATGTGATGGAGTGTCTCCTGTTGTACTTATTAAAATAAAAAAGAGTCTTATAACTCTGTTATTTAAAATAATGTATCTATATGGGCAGGGAGCTCTGGTGGCATAGTGCCTAAGGCATTATTTGACTGCTAACCAGAAGGCTGGTGGTTCAAACCCACCAGCTACTCCTCGGAAGGCAGACTGGGCAATCTACTTCTGTAGAGATACTGCCTTGGAAACCCAAGGGGTTCGCTATGAGTTGGGACTACTCCATGTCAGTGAGCTTGGTTTTGTTTTTAGCTTATATAGGGAAGAAACAGCTTTTGAAGGAGAGGTTTACTCCCTCTGCAATCCCCAGATATCCAGGAAAATGGCCCATATATAGCTGTGTTCTCAAAGAGATCGGTAATACAGAATTCAGTATTTTTTTCTGGAATGTTACTTTAAAATATGAGGGCCCAAGACGGAGTGATATCTCAACTCTGAAGGAAAGTGGCCTAGGGCCTTGCTCCACTTTGATCCTGTCAGAAGCTGGGAGGAAGGAAGTCCCCTCCAATTAATTGTAAATTTTCCAGGGCCCAGGTCTCTTGTCTGTCCCATACAGGTGCTCAGGGCCTCTAACTCTGTGAAGTTAGAAAAGCCCTGACAGGACAGTGATTTGGGCTGTTGGTGGGGGTTATCTCTCAGCCCCAAGGGTGACCTGGGGCTTCCTGCTGCATCCTGAGAACTCTTGATGGTGGTAACAGCATCCATTCCAGTGAAGGCTGCATTTTTGCTCACTGCCAGATCTCAGCCCACTGGGTTCCTTATTCGTTCCCATGAGGACTGAGGGCATGTATAATAACTAGTGGTTAAGAGAGTAGGCCTGAGAGCCAGGCAAACAAAGTCCCAATCCTGGCTTCTCACTTAGTACTCATGTGGCCTTAGGCAAGTTACTTTTATTTCAGCCTCAATTTCTTCCCAAAAAAAGAGAGGGAAGAAGGAACTTGTGGTGATAGAAACAGTACCTATTTGGTAGAGTCAATGTGTGTACAGCACATAGAGCCTGGCACATGGTAGCTCCTCAAAGAGTCACCTGTTATTAATCAGGTTAATAATGGTTTTTGGCTAACCTTTGTTGATGGTTTGATGGTTTTGAGAAATAGCCATTTCTCTAGTTCATTGTATCTATTTGCACCTTAGTTTTCAGGTACCATGACCCTGTTTAGTTGTGCATCGTTCTCCAAGCTTCGAATTCTCCTAGACATAAACTCTGATGATCTCTTAAGTTCCCTCTACACAGGACACACTGCATGATACACAATATAGCATGTTTCCATGGCACTCGGGCTGAGTGCTGAAGCTCTGAGCTCATTTTGAAATGCATCTCCTGCTCTCACCAACTTATGCAGAGTGGCCAATGAAGGACTTTGATAAACCCAATCTAGCTAAACGTGTATTGCCTTTGTTATTTGTAATAATAAAAATTGTAGATTAACTAATTGTTTCCCTGAACTTTTGCTCATAGTGAACCATCCCAAAACTTACTACATATACCTCTTTATTTATTTAGGAATCTCCTAGGTTTCCATATGGTGTATCATAGCTAAAACATAGATTGCATAAATTCCATAAAAATTAATACTGTCCCTAGGCAATCTTTTCTACTTCAGCTTCACCTATCATATGTATGCTCATAACTCTCAAATCTGCCTGTGCAACTCACATTTTTCTTGGTACCCCAAATCCATAATCTAATTGCTGACTGTACATCTCTAAAAATTACTGTATACATACATTTATATGTGTATACATAATATATACGTATATTAAATAAACATATCCATCTGTTTATCATCTGCTTTATCCACTAGAATGTAAGCTCCATGATTGTATTGCTCACAGCTCATCTCGAGCACCTATAATAATGCCTGGAACGTAGCTAAACACTTGCTGTTGAGTTGATTCTGACTCATGGTGACCTCACATATAAGGCTGTGCTTCATTGCAGTTTGAATGATAGTTTTTTAAAGTAGATTGCTAGGCCTTTCTTCTGAGGTGCCTCTGGGTAGACTTGAACCTCCTAGCTTTCGGTTTGCATCTGAGTGCATTAACTATTTGCACCACTCAGGGAATCTGAAACATAGCGGTGCAGTGAAATTACTTAATATGGCACTTCTAGACATAGTCTTTGTGAATCCCACACAGTGATTGGGTGGGATCATGCAAATAAGGTGTATGGAACCTGTAATGGTTGGGGTTATGTGTCAACTTGGTTAGGCCATGATTCCCAGGGTGATTGTTCAGTTTTGTGATCTAATTATTTTCCATTGTGTGTGTTGTAAATCCTGACCTCTTTGTGTTGAAACTCACTGCTATTGAGTCGGATTTGACTCATAACGACCCCTCCTTCGGTTTCCAATGCGGTATCATTATGGAAGTAGTACATTGCCCTGTCTTCCTTCTGAGGAGTGGCTGGTGAGTTTGAACTGCCAGCCTTCTAGTTAGCAGTAAAATGCCTTAGGCACTATGCTACCAGAGCTCCTTCTATGTGTTAGTAAGACAAACTTTGTTGTTGTTGTTATGTGCCATCGAGTATAGCCCCCTTCTTGGGTTTCCAAGGCAGTATCACTATGGAAGTAGATTGCCCTATCTTCCTTCCGAGGAGTGTCTGGTGGGTTTGACTTAGGTTATGTTAAAGAGGGTTAGGTTGGTTGTTATGTTAAGGATGCAGGATTAGGGTGGGATGTAGTCAAGTCACCACCTTTACTAAAGTCATCACCCTTGCTCAAGTCACCACCCTTCCTTGAGTCACACCTTTTATCCTGTTGTTGTTGTTGTTAAGTGCCGTCAAGTCGTTTCCGACTCATAGCGACCCCATGCACAGCAGAACGAAACACTGCCCGATCCCGCACCAGCCCCACAATCCCTGCTATACTCGAGCCCATCATC